TGGAAAATAAAGCTAAAGTTTCTACTCAATTGTTTCCTAAAAAAAAAAGAGATAAATAAATATGGTCCACATCCATTGGCATGAAGTTAATGTTGCTATATATATAAGTCTGGATCCAGTGAATGGTGTTTGTATTTCTTTCTTCTTCATAAAATAGTGGTCCAAGAATTGCCATTTTGCCTACGTTTGTATTTTGATTATTGAAGTACCAATCAAGAATTGCCGTTTTCGGAAAGTTTCTAAAACAAGTCCAATAATTTTGGGCATCCACAGTTTTTATTTTTCATATTAACAACAAAAAGATCAATGTGAACGATTGACATCATACAAATTAATTCATTTACATACAATAATTTATGTAACTTCAATTAGTAGTGTACTATATATAATATATATAATGACAGCCGATGATTTTATGTCTTTTAATTTAAAAGAAGAAGTATCTATCTTTTTTTTTTTTTTGAGGGAAAGTATCTATCTTTATTAAGCTAGCTACTAAATTGATTACCTAGTATATAACTTAGACTCCTCCCTAATAATACGTAATAATTGTAATTATAACGAGATTCAAGCTAAGTTTTTGTCAATATTGCTTATCGAGTTAAAGTTGAATTTTGCCACTAGCTGTACTTTCATCTTAATGAATTTTAGCTTTATACTTCCTAATTTTCATTGATTATCTAGATAAAAATTAACAAATTAAGGGATATTTTTAAACTAATTATCAGAATTGAGAGTTCAGTATTCTACCAACAAGTGTGATCTTCGGAGATCACCAAGAGTGCTCCGACGATCAAGTTAGTAGATCATCCAAGTATTAATTGGAGAAGTTTTAGGAGCTAGATATAGAGATTAGGGTTTGCAATTAGAGAATAAATGAGAGAAGTGTATCCTATTTATAGTGGTAGTCGGCCCATCTGGTGGACTCCCGTATGGGCTTAAACCTTGTTCAGGCCCAAGTGTATGAAAATTAGATGGGTCATTGAATCGATCCATGTTTGAGGTTCGCCAGGTGTTAAGTATAATAGTGTATTCGTTCAATACATGATCGCAGATTATGGGAGATCTGCGTTAGTTACTCTGTAAAATAAGCAATTGAGAGTTGTACTCGACAACTAAAACAATTAGGGTTAAAATACTAACGAACTTTAATTACTGAAAAACGAAATTGAAATCATGTATAGTGACAACATTCAAAACTAATATAATTACTTACACAATTGAAATTCAATCATTTTCCAATCTACAAAAACTTGGAAGCAAGGTGTCAAATTAAAGTTGGATGAAAAGTTAAGAAAGATTGGTTTAAGAACCACAGATCTAGCTAGAAAACATTGAAGCTTTGGTAATGTCCCCATAAAAGGAAAGGAAGAGAGTTGGGTATAAAAAATGGGTGGGGTTGCAAATTGGGAATATATTGAGAAAATGCTGTTATAATAAGCAAGGACAAAAAACGGGACCCATTAGTTTTCTTTTCATATGTATATAAATCTTTGTGGCCGATGATCTCTCCTTTAGGGGGAAAATACAAAGAGATTTTCCTCGTATGAATCAAGTATGAATAAGGAAGGTCAATCATGAAAAATATATAGTAAATTGTAATTAATAAAAATTTCTTTAAAGAATATATATATAAACACAAAAAAATGCCATGCGAATGAGCATGTGCATGGGCAACCTCCACAATTTTGCTGCCTTTTCCACCACAAAAAGGGTTTTGGGTTGGCTTTGATGCCAATTGCCTTGGTCCTCCTTATTCTTTTTCTCTCCAATATTCACTTTTTTTTTCTTAATTATGTTGAAATAACAATGTGAATTTTGAATTTATGCTGTTTTTGCAACTATATATATTTTTCAACACATATATAAATAAATATGATAACAAGTAAATTATGCCTTATATTTGTTGCTTTACCAAATTGAGAGGCAACGTTGTTTGCAGACTTAATTTATACACCAAGACTCCGTTGGGTAGATGCCATTTGCCTTTTTTTCCTTTTCGGAAGAGAGTCCAAATAGATGCCAACGTTTTTTTTTTTTTAGAAAACTTTGAACCATTTAATTGGTTTCAATCGTTTTCTTTTGTTCTTTTTGCTTTATTTTTCCTGAAAAATGTCTAACAAGTTGTAGTAAGGTTAGAAAATCACAGAAATGAATAATCGTCGGTTTTCGAGGATTTCGGGACCATAATATTGATGAATTTAGGAGTTTTGGGACCACAAAATTTTCGACAGAATTTACATATGATTTTTTTTGAAGTGTCATAATTTACATGTACGTAGTTGTAAATTCAAAGGTTCAAACTATAAGTTGGAATTTTATTATAAACCTTTGTTCCTCCTATATTGCTAGCAATTACTAGAAACATTGGAAGCTAAAAGCTGTTAGTTGGCTGGAATGCAAGAATCTTGTAGTTCGTTTTATTGCCTTGAAATCATATATTCCTCTCCAAGTTGGCACATATTTAGACTTTTAGCTTAAGTTCTTAATTACCCCAAAGTTATGCAATTATTTTTTTATATATAGTATAATTTTGATTTTCCCACACTCGAGTTGTTATCTCAACTAGTAAGTGTATCGTCTCTGCATTTAGATTGTGATTAAGATAATTTCTTAGTTTGGATTAGATTCTCATTCAATATTTGGGCATCTAGGAATTAATTGTAAATGTAACGAGATTTTACTTATACCTCTCAAAAATAAAACATGTGCCCCTTTTTAGAATTAACCAGCATTTCACTGAAATTTCTTAGTGTTACTATAATAACTAATAATAAGGTCATGAACAACTGAGAAAGTTTATTTATGAAATTGTTTGTAAATCAAAATGGGTGATTAGTAATCAAAGTCTTTTGTGTTTGCAAAGGTGTTTAATTCCTAATTTTTCTGTAATTACTAAGAGAGAAATAGGGTGGAGATCTTAGACTCGTGGTTCCATGTTGATGTTTAGAGTGGGCAAAAGATGGATCAATCCAAACAATATATTTGATAAAGAATATTAATTTAGCAAATTGTCTAGTCTTGAAATGAAAGAAGAAAGATCATATAATCATGTTTATAGTATTATAGAATATTAATTTAGCATCTTGTATTACAAGGAAAAGATTTTATAGTATTATAATCATGTTTACAACACAAATCTTCCTCGAAATCTTTATTAAAAATTCAGACAAATCATCCTAAGATGATCATATTAGCAAATAATTAACCACTAATTAAACCAACACTCAATCATATATTGTTCAAAACAAAAATCTTTTTGCCAGCAGACGAGGGAATCCTTCTTTTCAATTTGCACATAAATCAAATTAAATATGCCACTAATATATAATAATAATATAATAATACTATTAAATCAATTTTAAGTAATTACCCAAGAAAATTAATTAAGTAATTGGTATGAAACAACATAAGATAATCTGACAGAGTGGGGCTCAGAACATCGTATGGTAACCTTCCATCTCCTAACCATGGTGTCCACATGTACTTTCAATCCAACACTGAAATTAGGTTGCCTGTTGCCCTCATCCAAAATCTTAATAATGACACCAAAAAAAAAAAATCAATTTAAATCTTACTTTTCTCATTCTTTCCTTTCATACATACATTTTTTTAAATAAAAAAGTACCCATGACAGATTTATTTTGATTTCCCTCTTCATGGTATTTTTGAAATGATTTTTCACCGGTCCTCAAACCCTTACCCCATTAGATCCAAAAACATAACGGGGAATGGATCTTGATTCATAAGTCTGAGAGGGTCAATATAAATTGACCTACGTAATATTTAATTTTTGGAGGTCAAATTAAACATTATTAAATGATGTATTAAGAAATTTTCATTTTTTGGGAGTCAAGCCTCATGCATACACAACGATATGCCCCTAGATATAACCATTTAACCATCAAAATAAGAGGAGAACCAATGATCTCCCAATCTAGTTAAATTATTACTCCATTATCACTCACTTGAACTCTTTAACAGTAATAAAATATTGTATAACCATATACAGAAATTTAAAATATTATTCATATAATAATTAATGTATACGGTAGGTACATAATTAGTCTTGTAACTCTCAAAGTGGAGTAAGAAATTAATACGAAAAAGTATAATAATTTGTAGGAATATAAAATACCCACATGAATCATGTTGTTTTGATTATTTTGATAATTATTAGTAGTAGTATATTAGTTAATTAATATTAATAAGAAAGCAAAATCTTATCCAAGTGGGGCTCATAAAAGGAGTCAACAGTGTAAGATTTGGAAAGAATTAAGAAATGGTTGGGACTTCGGGGATGATACCATGGACACCGTCCGATGTTTTGATTGTTAAGTTAATTAAAGTGTTAACAAAAATCCAGCTCATCAAAGTTGCTCTGTGTATATATATGACAATGCAACAGCAGAATTATGTGATGATCTTCACAATCTCAATCTCAATGACAATCAAACTTTGCACTCCATTTGAAGATTCCAATCCATGTTTTCTGATATTTGGATTTCGACAAAATTTTCCCTACAGTTTCTTGAGATTTTCTTGCACTTTGTGTTTCCCTTCAATATTTCATTTATTTATAGATAGAGTATTAGAGTTCATGCGTGAAGGTTGGTAGTATTATCTTTTAACTTGGGGAGATTCGATGTCTTGTTTTTCGAGTAAGATCAAATTATTCGTCAATCACTTAAAATTAATCTTCGGATTATGAGATTAATTTTTTTGTTGAATATGAGATTAATCATTTAGACATATAAGAAATAAGCATGTTTACAAAATTAACAATATTATTTATATCTGAGTTGTTATATCAATTAGTGAGTGTACCGTAATAGGATCATACATTCTGGATTCAAATTTCTCTACTTATAAGTTTTGTACCACTTTATCAGGGTTTGGTTGCTTGTTACTGCTTCTTAAGTATGGACCTGTTTAATTAGTACTTGCGATTTCTTGTTGAATTGTTTGAGTATATAAAGAAATATATTTTTGGTATCTGAGGGATATTAAGGATTGAACCCTAACCATTGAAACTAAGAATTCAACACTTTACCATCAAACCAAATATCCAATGACATATCAAGAGATTTTTAACTATAATGCAATTTTCGATATATTTGTCATTTGTGTACTCTTTTTTTTTTGGCCATGTCATTTGTGTATTCAATATTATTATCACCATGAGTATAAAAGAATTGAATGAAGAAATTATGTCAATAATATGTAATATTTGACTCAAATTTCACTTTGTTTTTAAAATCTCAAAAAGGAATTAGAAGGACTGTGCTAAGATCATTATCCTCAATGCATAGTATAATTCAACAACTTTAGTTGAAAAGATTGAAATGAAATCATTTATTAGACTGTCAAAAATGGGGAGTACTATTTATAGCTTTCAGTTGCCTTGTCTCAACACAATTGAGAAATTGATCATTTCAAAACCTTAAAACAAATTGGAAGGAAGAGGAAAAAAAGTTTTTCAATCTTGTTATGATGAAAAAGCTTTGGCATTCCCCATCCTTTGCTATGTATTGTGAAATATTATGTCCTCCACGCGCAAAATTATAAAGCACTTTGAGAAAGATTTTCGATAATCTATCATCAAATCACCAAATCAAATCAATTACTACTACTTTTTTTCAATAACATTTCGATAAGATTATTTAATTTAACATAATTTTATGATGGTTAAATATTGAAATTACTGTATTTTTGACAACTTCTAATAATGATTTTTTTCTTAATTTTTTAGTATGAGATTAAACATGGCAATTAAGACGTAAACAACGTGAATTTTGCTTTTCTAATTTCTAAATTAAAATTCGTAATTAGAATTAAAACACTTCAATTAGAAATGAGAATTGATATGATGACTTATATATTCCATTAATAATAATTCAAATGGAGGGAGGCCCCTCTTTCTGGAAATTGTGATTGATGGATTGACGGGAATCTTGGGAAGATCTTTCAAAAAAATTGTCCTGAAATGAAAATTTTATTATTATATTATATAATAATATTTTTAATAATAAACCTATTTTCGATTTTCCTACTAATACTTGCTAAATAGTATTCATTCATATCCTAAAAAAAAATATTTTGTGCCAAATGTATCTCAAATCTCATAGGATTCCTTGGGAACCCCAAACTCCATTTTTTAATCTCCATTTTTTTTATTTGGCCAAAAAAAATCTCCATTTTTTTATATAAAGTACCAATAATTTCAACTATTACTAATATATATATAATATATAATAAAATAAATATCACTATTTGTTTGGAGTTGGACAAATAAAATGAATTTTAATACTATGGTATCGGGATTCGATTGTTTCCCATTTATAGCAAGTACACATGAAAAGCCAATCACGTAACTTTTCTTAATTAAAATACTAATGTGATGTGAATTGTAAGGGAAACACCTGTCTTCTGCTGCTGCAAATTGATGGGTTTTCCTTTTTTTTTTTAATTATTATGTGGGACTTTAGTTTATTTTTAAAACTTTTTTAAAGGTGAAATGTTGTGCGATGTGGAAGTCTCTAGTTTTATGATCCATTTAACATCATTTTGGCCCTCTTGGCCACATGCTTTGTATATTTTCTATTTTTAGAAATGTTGGTGGGTTTAAGTTATTCAGTACTATGATTATTATTTTTTATTTTTTTTCATGTGAAATTGACTTTTGCAAAGCATTTTATGAACGAATCAAATTGTGCCACAAAAGAATTATAGCAATTAATTAGTCTTTACTAGGAATTGTTATTTTTAGTTTCAGAAAATCAAAAGATTAGTCAAAGTAACAAAATTAAGAGCCAAAAGAGAAGATGACAGCAAATGAAATTTTATAAAAGGGAGATGGAACTTATGATTCTTATGATAATATTCTTCTTAGTTAGTAATTATTGTTCTTTCTTTAAGAAATTTTTGAAAAGGAGCAATCAAAATCAAGTCTTTTAATTAATAATAAAGGGGCTAATCACTAATCAAATGTTCGGATACGTATAATTAATTGATTAATTTGCAAATGGGGTTGTTTTAGGTAGAGTGCTAATGGTTTAATTCGAAACAATTTGTTCAATTCTTTATTCAAAGTCGCTTTAAGCAAATTCCTAATTAATAAAGAACTTACTTAAATGGGTATTTTGTGATATGATCTATAAGGTTACGCAAGTGCTAGTAAACCGAAATTGAGTTATGGGATGATTAATCATTTGTTTCACCAATAACAAAAATATACTGAATTGTATGTATAAGTTAGACCTAATTATAGATTAACTTGGTTAGTGGGATATTCCATTAAAGGAAGAAAGTTACTATAAGGACTTGATGAGACTTTTAATTATCATCAATCAAATTATGGTTTCACCTTTTAAGAGAATGATCATTTACAACCAACCACATCATTTGATTGTGGTAATTAATCTTTATTAATTTAATCCCTAACGAATGCATTATTATTTTGCTTTGATAAATATATATTAGGTCCTCCATTGATATAGAAAGTGCTTGACAACACAACTAAATCTAGATTGATGTCCAAATAGACATTTAAAACACTTTCTTTTTTGCCCATTTGTTCACTATACTAACATTGCCTTTACCTAATTATGAATTGAGAGGTCAATTGTTTAGATCACTAATAGAGTAGCTTAAAAGTCAAGTTTAGAAACTATCTATTCCATTTCCCTAATGAACAAGAACAATCCTTATTCAAATTAGAAGTTCATTTTTAAGCTTGCCTCTTTAGAGCAGTTAATTAATGAAGTCTTAATTTGCATCTAAATACATACATATGAGCAGAAAAGTATTAAGCTTCGAAGCTGGTCCCCATATCTATAATCTCTTAATTGATTATTTTTAGTACCTAGACATATATATATATATATATATATATATAAAAATGAAAAAAAAAACCCATTAATTGACTTGGTGGTTGTTACCAAGGGTATCTTTATTGGTAAAACCCTAATTGACATGTGAATTTCCAGCTCAATTTTCATTGCATTGTTTGGGTTTTCTTTGGGTGAGTGTCGTTTTCATTATCTCTTTGATTAAAAATAAATAAACAGAAAGGAAGAAAAGGAGAAAAAGAATACCTGGCTTATACATTAATAGTGAATTAATCATGGAATCATCACAAATTAAATACACATGTCCTTGTACAAAACTATATAAATATGCTTCAAACATACGCATATATACCTATTTAAAACATCCAATTTAGCACAAAAACAAAAAAGTTGTGGCTTGAATTTTGCACAAACTAGAATGGGAAAAAGAAAAGAAAAATCCCAAAAATAATCCAATGGCACATAAAACACAAAGCTAAAGTACCCCAAAAGAAAAGGCAAAACAAAGAGTTAGGTTTAGAAGCTGGGGCAAAAGGGGTTAAGGATAATAAAGCCAGTGGGCCTATTGGTAGAATAGAACACATCCTCAACCAATTTTTTTTTTAAAGAGGGAATGAAATGTGGGCCTTTAAACTTTACATAATTGAATTGGAGAAGAATAGGAATTTTATTTTATTATATATATTTATTGAAACAACTACTAAAATTTAGTAAATTATTAGTATACATAAAAAAAAGGCCCACTTTGGATGGTACTGTTTCCACTTGGGGAAAACAACCTCTTCAAATCAAAGCCTCGTCCCACTTCCATTATTGGAAGGTTTTTGCTTCTTCTTCATAACAATTCAATTTTCACCCCACTTTAAACAAAAACAAAAAAAAATATTCACGAACGCTCTGTTTAGTAGAGTGGTGTAATAGTGATGCGATTGACATTGTTTAGTATATGTACAAATGATATTATACTGTACAGATTAGATTAGGTATTATACAAATTAGATTATTAGAGCAGCGATTGAAACAGAGTTTACGCTTAAAATCGTTTGAATCCAAAATGGTGATGAAACAACCAAATGATAATGAAAACGGTTACAGATACACGACCCAAATGGATTAGAAGATGGGATTGGGAGATATGAGATTGAAAATATATGAAAAATTGAAAAAAATATATGGAATATAATAAGAATAAATAAACATTAGACGACAAGATGAAGAACAAAAATTAATTAAAAGGAAACATTTTGGTTTCGCTGTTGGGAAAATTTTGTCTAGGTGCATTCTTACGTGGCTATCTCCATTTTTACCCTAACCTAAATGGACCCATTTCTTACAGATGATGTCTGTTTCTTTCTGACACACTTCCTTCTCAGCTTCTCCATTATTTATAATTGAAAATTTTATTAAATTGTTCTTCAATGGAGTACTATTAATAATCTTCTATATATAATTTTTATTTGGATGTTTTAAAATTTGGGGTTTTTTTATTATTTTTAAATGGTGGTGATGTCAAGCATGATGATATCTCTTAAATCTACGAATCTATCTATCAATCTATAATATCTATCTATCCTATGGTTGAGTTGGCTTTAGCATTTTTTTACTTGGAGTTAGACCCAATCTCTTTCATGGAGAGTGCTCCCACGCTTCCTTTCTTATTCTTTTCTTTGATTCTACTTGAGTAAATGATTACCTTTTTTTTCCCTCCGTTTTTTCCTCTCCACCACTTTGCTTTTTCTTTACTAGAATGTGAGAAAATTTTATATTTTCCTTACTTTTTTGGGTACTATTTTCCTTAATTTTAGGTTTTGCTTTTAGTTTATAAATAAACTAATTTAACTTTTTTCTATAATGGGGTTGGAAGATTAAACTTGTTTATGAGTTATAATCTTTGAGTTTGAGTTTGTGTTTTGAATAAAATTTGATATTTTTGTGGGTTTAGTTAACACTTTTGGCACTAGCTATTGATTGTGTATATAGCCATAATTTAGGGAAAAGGAGAGAGTCCATACTTGATACTTCATAGCTTAACGTAGAAAAAATGAGGAAAAAAAAAATCTCATAGGAGGAATAAACTCGTCCTTACCCACTAACTATGCTAATTATTGTATTAAATAGTAGATGGTAATGCAAGAGATAGTTACATTAAATTATTGATTATATAAAGTTGGTTAAGTTATGAGTAATTTGATTGGTCGAGAAATCAAAATCACTTTCTTA